AGGAGAGTACTCTGAAGACAAAACATGCAAGGGCATAACACTTCTATTCTCTCTAGCTGGTGGTTTCTTCCACCCCTTCCCCTTTGGGACTGGCTGGCTATATTATTTATAGTAATGTCTAAACACACAACTACAAGTATAATTGCAGTATTTAAGTGATGAAACATTTTTCAGTTTACTCAGAAATACGTGCATTGGCTGAACTGAAGCACCCAGAGCCCGGGTGGGAAGAGTACCTTCCAGGACTGCCACTCTGTAAAGCTCTATCACTTACAGAGGCATTCAGGTGCATACTTAAAGAAATTCATTCCCTTAAGTCATTTTGATGTGTTTTGTTTTTCTCTAAATTCCCTGACCTTGAGACTTCAGGTCAGACATTCCCTTGCTAATCCAGCACGACAAATAACAAAATAACAAATTTTTTCAGTTCCTTTAAATATTAATTCACAGACAGGAGCACGCAAAAGCCCCTCCCCAACTTCCTGTCAATGTTATATTCTTATTCTGCACCATCAAGACCACCAGTTTTCACTAGTGTTAAAAGTCAAAGGAGTCAGCACCTAAGAGGCCATTTAAACTTTCTCTATAAAGCAAAGCAACTCTTTAGTCCTTAAAAAAGAAAAATTCTTCAATTCTTTGAGTATCTCAGCATGAACCATTGTCACTCTCCTAACTAACAGTAAATATTTAAATTAGAGGAGGGTCGCAGATAAACAATGTTCAACTGCGGCTTGGTGGAGCCTGAACTTTCCTCCTAGTTTCACATCCTAGTTCTGCCATGGGCATACAAAGACTAGCTCAGCAAAAAGCAGTAAAGAAGCTGTTCTGCCTTGCTCAAGAACCTAAAGGATCATAAGCAGTTCCCAAATAAGAAGTTAATACAATATAAACTTACATGCATTTTTATCTGATAAACTATAAAGCTGGCATGAATGGCCTAACAGTTTGTTTCTGTTGCAGCTGTTAACATCTGAATTTCCAACACCTTCCTAATAAAAGTTCTGCTCTTTATTTTAGAGGAGCTGCTAGTTAGTAAGTGCAACAGTAAGCACAATCAGTAGCATCTGTAAGCACAGAAACATGCTTACAATTACGTCTATATACATTGGTCTCCATTTTCCATAATACTACAGGCTGAATCAGAACAATTTTGATTATCAGGTTACTTAATTTGACAGTGCTCTGCAGAACACACAGCATTAGCCTAATTTTTCCTCCCAGATGCAAAATCCCAAACTATTCCTCAAGATATTGACAGGTGTATTCTGCAAATCCAAGAGGCATCATGGTTAGAAGTAGGTATCTTATGTCAGGAGGTCAAATACAACACATCAGGCACAAGCTACCTATAAGTCAGTATTTCAGCTATGCAGACTACCAGTAATAGCCGAATTGTGAAATTTTTGACTTATTGACAATGAAACTGTTGACTTATTCTTGCCACATTCATAGATGGCTTATTGTAGAACTCAAATGTGAATCATTTCAGGCAAGTCTACCAAGGATGCTTTGAATTTGAAGTCACTTACAGACCAGGCTATAAATAGCAAACATTTGGTAAAAATCTTCATCTGATATCCATATATCACAGTGCTAAGCACACACATGATAGAAACATTAATTTTATTGCAGCCCGTAAGACGGTTCTAAAGAAGTCTTTAATGGAATAGCTCATTCAAAGAAAATTTCTGAGCACGAATTAGACTACCAAAGCAGCTCAATACAGCCAAATGGGTTGAACAACATGGCTTGCTGCCACATCCCCATGACGTGGTGTGACCTGCAGAGAATACTAGTCAGCCTGCCAAGATTTTTCCTGACCAACTGGTCTTTACAAAGCCAGAGATCTACGCTCCAGAACGCAACACCCACAGATATCATCTCCAATTAGTGATGACAACAGCTGCCATCAGTTCTGCTTGACACAAAAGGTAAGTTTGGTCCTTGGGTGCACAGACACTGTCCTAGGAGCGCTTCAGTGAAACAAAAGGTGCAAAGCAAAATATTTATAAAAAATTCTTGTAATATTTATTTTAATCTTGTTACTCAGTAATAAGCTGAGTATAGGAAATGCAGCAGTGCATCACTATTTAGGAGAAGAAAAAAAAATTTCAATTACCTTGTAACAATCTTTTTGAACTACCTTGAAAGCTACTTAGTTGGGACACTGAAGCATCGAACCCATTTTTACAACTGTTAGGTTGGCATATATTAAGTTTGCAAAACATTATGTCATTTTCAAGGTGGAACATATGGATAGCAAACCTTTTGGGGACGAAAGTGTAAAGATCTTCCCCATTCTGTGCAGAAAGCTTTTATTAAAAAGTTTGCAAGTTGTCCTTTCACATCAATGATCTCTGCATATCAAAGCCGAGGTCGTGTTGGTATCGGAAATATCATCCCATATGGGTTTTGCTGTGCATTTTAAAAATATAAAAATATACACATGCTTTTAACAGTGTACAACAAAGGACATTAAGATGATCTATAAAGTGCCTTGTGGGCACAATGCCTTTGTAAGTCAAAAAGAATTCTAAAGATCACTGATTTGAGGCACTACTTGTATTTTGGTTGAAGCATCATTTTTATTGCTGTTATTTCCATACAGAATAGTGGTTACTGAATCTTGTACTGGGTAGTTTTATATATTTTTAGATCTGATGGCTAAAGCAATCCACAACAGAAATGAAGCAGTATCTTGCACTCTCACGACAAATTTTAACACTACTGATGTTTTTTTTTTTACATGCCAATGTGTCTTTATAGGCACAAAAATCTAAAAGACCTCCTATCGACTTAAAATTAGGCTGGTGGTCTTCCTGTCACCAAACAACACCCTAAGGACCAGAAATGTTTTTTAGTTCTTAAGAATGTGAAATGTTTTTTAGGTCGTAAGAATGCGGTATGCTCTCAAATGTTTAAAAGGCTGCACATGGCAAATGAAGAATGTGACCCTTCTCCTCTCTAATATAAAATACAGAACTACACTCTAAAGCTTTTTATCCTTGCAAATGCATGCAATGAATAAACAGATTCTGGATCAAAGTATCTGACAACTCAAAAATAAGCAGAAAGGCATATGTTAAGACCAACCATCAGCCTTCAGGACAGTAAAAGCAACAAAAAATAATTACTGAGAAATGCTTTTAAAAGAAATAAAGGAAAAAAGAGATAGTAAAGACAGCACTGGCATATCTTTCATCACACCAGTAAAGTTTTTAATCAGAAGAGTTTGCTATATAAATTAGTACATCTTCCTTACTAACATACAAGACAAGTTTAAAATAGGCCAGACTTTGGGTTTTTTCAAACTAACCCTACCATAATTGTACCAAATTATGTGAAAAGAAAGTAATAAACCAACCAAGTATATATTTTCATTGAAATGCAAATATTTAGGAAAGATTAAACACCTGCTAAAGACTCTCAAGTTCTCACCTGTAAGTCTTTCTTCAGTTTTAGCAAATCTTCATTGTCTGCATTCCCAGATAAGGCAGCCTCAACTTGCTGAAGCTGAGCTTTGTAGCTAGCTAACTGCTTTGCAAGGTCTTCTGACATCTGCAAGAAACATACACACATCCCCCCACATCAAAACGACAGCTTTTTAATCATGTCTTGTGGTGCAAGTAAAGTGAGACTAATAAACAAATAACACGAAAAGCTATTACTAAAATATTAAAAACATAACTTGCTAAGTTTCAGTAATGCACTATTTCACTATAGAGGCTTACCTTAATTGTTGTACCGTTCAACCACTCTTAAGCAATTTCTAAAAAAGAAAGCTTAAAAACGTGCCCGGGTGCGGGCACAGGCAAAACGCGCAACTTACGTGACCTGTGGGGTCTCTAGGCGGACTCGAAAGGTCCCACATCTTTAGAAAGCTACCCCGCACCACTGCGTTCCCCCTCCGGCTG